TTATTTTTAGTTTGGTGGTTTTTCACAATTATTTATTGTGCCTATATGTGAAGAGCTTTCTTATTGTATGAAAACTCGCATATTTATACCACCTAAAATGAAAGACTAAAAGTTTACACAATTGGCAACTGGTGATTTGGTCATGGTGATAAATTGGTTGACAGTGAAGTTTGGTAACTGTTATTTTCATTACAACTCAAAATCGTTACTAAAAAAACCAACTCAAAAATCCTTATTCAAAAAACAATTCAAAAATCCTTATTCAAAAAACAATTCAAAAATCCTTATTCAAAAAACAATTCAAAAATCCTTATTCAAAAAACAATTCAAAAATCCTTATTCAAAAAACAATTCAAAAATCCTTATTCAAAAAACAATTCAAAAATCCTAATTCAAAAAACAATTCAAAAATCCTTATTCAAAAAACAATTCAAAAATCCTTATTAAAAAAACAATTCAAAAATCCTTATTCAAAAAACAAATCAAAAATCATTATTAAAAAAACAACTCAAAAATCATTATTAAAAAAACAACTCAAAAATCATTATTAAAAAAACAACTCAAAAATCATTATTAAAAAAACAACTCAAAAATCATCATTAAAAAAACAACTCAAAAATCATCATTAAAAAACAACTCAAAAATCATTAAAAGAACTACTCAAAACCATTATTAAAAAAAAAAACTCAAAATCATTATTCAAAAGACAACTCGAAACAACTCTATTCGGAAACCAACTCAAAATTATTACTAAAAAAACGCTTATACAAAATCTTACACCAGATAGATGTCAAGTTATTTATTTATACTTAAACAAGTGATTTCATGATTAAATTGCAACTATCTGATGTAAAACTTGCTTTTAAACTTAGAAAAATAAATATACGTATCAATCAATAACGATAAATCAAATTATTAACCTAATTTATATTACTCCCTCTCCTACTCGAAAACTATTTCCTCCTCTACTTCCTCCATCCCCCCCTTTCTTAGGACATTATGCAATTCCTTGATCAGAAAACCAATATCATAAATCACAATTCCCTCCGGAATTCCATTCACTCTTCAACACCCCCTTTTCCAAACTTCAAATCTTTCATGAAGCACGAATCTTTGGAAAGGGATGCTTTCGAGAATCTGAGGAATCTGGGTAAATACACAGATCAAATATTTACACACCCTTCAAACGACAATTGGAACAAAAGAAAAGAAGAAGTGAAGAAAAACACGAGAGTCACTTTACATATCTTGTCTTCATTATTAAATTAATAACGGAGAAGAGAAGGATTGTCTTTCAGACTGTGACGTCTTCTCAATGCTCTGACGAGGAGGCTATTTATGGTGAAAGAAGTTGCATAGGGAACACTGATCATTCACTTTTTTTTCTTGATGGTTAGATTTGGGATTGGCTATTTTTCTTTTTTGATTTATTTTGATAGCTGCATAATTTATTATAAGCTTTAACGCTGATATATATTCATAGTTATAATGATTAAGAGCTATGAAAATGTATTGCAATGTAGTGTGATGAAATTTTTATTATCTAGACGAATGATGATTATTTAAATTTATTCTTTGAGTTACGGTTTGAGTTTTAAATAATTCGTGGATTCAAATGTTAATAAATGTACAATATATTTAGATTATATATGTTCATTGCATTCAGTAACACATTGTCATTAATAATAAAAAGTTTATTAGTGGAATTGATAAGTAAGAATAAAACGCATTTTGCTTTAAACGCATGTCTTAAACACATGTTAAAAATAAATAATAGTGAAAAAAATAATTTTACGATTTAGTAATACACATAAATGTATGTGTAAAAAGATAATTTTGAAATATTTATTTATTATTTATAAATCATGATCATTATTATTATTAGGCAACAAATAATTATTCATAAATAATGAATAAATATTAATAAATTATAATATAATAAATAATTCGTTGATTCAAATGCTAATAAAAGGTACAAAAAATATATTTAGATTATCTATAAACATTCCTTCCATCCAATAAAACATTGGCACTAATAATAAAAAGTGTATTTATTAGTGGCATTGAAAAGTCAGAATAAAACTTATATTGCTTTAAAATACATGTTAAAAATAAGTAATAACGTAAAAAATAATTTTGCGATATAGTAATATATCTAAATGCATATGTAAAAGAATATTTATTATTTATTAATTATTATTTATGAATTATTGTTTTTAATAAATAACTAATAATTATGATAATAAGTACAATTAAAAATTCAAGTAGTAAACTGATTTTAAAACGTTTTATGTTTTAATATTTCATCAATAAATTTTAAATGCATTCAGAAGAAACAAAATTATTAAAATGGGAATATTTATTCCCGAGATTATTTGCTTTATGTGTGAAAATTAACAATTCACTTTTTGTTTCTATAATATTTATGAATTAATTAAGGAATCTGTACATTAATTTCAATATAATTCCAGAAATTTCTTGCTCACAATACTGTCATTTTAACATGTAAAATGCGAGAAAACTTTATATTTCAAACCTGTTTTATACTTCAGTGCTGGAAGAGAAAAACAAATAAACCATTCCAATTTTCATAAATTTCCCGAAATAAAATTGTGGTTAGTAGAGCACTTCTTAGCGCATTTATTAGAAAAATTTCAAGCAAACATAAAAATCTGTACTAATGAATTTACAAGTAAACCGAAATTAAAGTTCCCATGTCGACCATTGCTATAAACCTGCACGCTAGAAAATCATTCCGCTTAAGTCCAAGAAACCATGTGGTCTCATGGAATGAGGGAAAGGGAGGCTTAGATAGATTGTAAATTACTTGTTGTGATAGATTACCCGTAGGTAGAAGTCTGTCTTGGCTCCGTGACGCTGACGTTTTACAGGGTAGGGCTGTCAGTCCTACTCCCAATAGTCATATAAGACCAAGACCAACAGCTTAAAGTAAATTCCGAACCACTATAAACATCCATAGCCCTTCCGGGACTCGACCCCAAACCCTGGGGCACCGAGATTTGGTATGCTTTGTTGCTCTACGGTCATTTTGTGCGTACTTTGGGTTAATTAGTCCGGGAACTATAGTTTAACATGGGTTAACAGTATTACGTTTAGTTTAACAGTTTAATGTTCTGAAAGTTTAACAAACATCCACGCCACCGCCAGGATTCGAACCTACTACATCACATCACTGTTACTAGAGCTGAGTTGCCCCTATACAATTTGGGAATTATGTGGGTGAGAAGTCTGTCTGGGCTCCGCGACGCTCTTACAGTCATATGAGACCGGGACATACGGCTTAAAATATATTCCGAACCACTACAAACATCCATGGCACCGGCGGGTTTCCAACCCAAAACCTGTGGTAACAAAAGCTAGAACGCTAGCCAATTGGTCATTAAGCCGTTAGCCAGACTTGGAGCCAAACGGATAGAAAATTAAACATTTTATAATGTTACTGCGGATGGGAGAAAAATAATTATCATTTACAAGGTCAATCATAAATAACTTACTGATAAAATGTCCTTTATCGAGTTTTTAATATCTTAATAAACGCCCAACGTATGTAAATTTCCATTGTCTTGAACAAATATATAAACTGTTTTCTATTAAAAAGTGCCTTTTCTACGAAATAAGTCATTAATTACATATGTCACATGTATTACCACTTATTTCTGCGTAAATCCCTCATCTATAACATTTCAAAAGTACCAACCTAAAGTGTGTTCAAAAAAACCAACAATAAAATAATGGGACTGTGCCATTTATTTTATCGCGCGGAGGAAACGCCACACCGTTCGTGTACTTAACAAGTTCTCGAACCCGCCCACAGAGATTAGGAAAAATAACTTCTTACCCGACGGCCCACCCTTCAAACCCATCACACCCTTGGCAGGCAAAAAGTGGTTGACCCGGGAGGACCTTTTGCATTTCGTTTTTCACCCTATTTGCCGCCACTTGTGAAATCAGTAGGTGAGTATGGCGAAGAACACAAAGGAAAAAAGAAGTCTTTCATTTTCTTCGAATCACCTATCAGTTTGCTGAAGGTCTTAAGTCGGTATAATGAGACGTGCATGGATTCGTCTTCTGTTACATTTTTTTTGTTTCTTTTTTGAATCGGTCTATTTGTTTTAGAGCTGTTTTATTTAAAGAAATGATGGCAAAGAAGAGTTGGACTTATTGAGATGTGTCTGTGTTTCGAACCTGAATGGGAAATTTTTTTGGATTCGAATATCTTTAATCATCTGAGGTCGATAATGAGAATTAGTTATTTGAAGCAGAGTGGTCTTTCAGATTTCATAATTTGGTAGTTCTCGCTTATTAATTTTGCTTTTTTTTTTAATACTAAATGTTAAAAAGTAAGTTGCATTATGAGTCATTTTTACAATTAATCAATCAAAAATATGATTCATTACTCGAATTACATATTAATTGAAAAAGATTTTCACCATTATGGGAGAAATTAAAAAAAAAAACTAAAACAAGTTATTGGAACTGACTTTAAACTAAATTCCTTCAATGCAACTAATTTATATTTGTATTTTACAGCTTCTTAACTAATGTAATTATGCAAAATCAACATTTATTAAGGAACTATTTACAACAAAATTCTTGCACAATAAAAGAAAAGAACTCTATTGTATGTTATCATCAATATGTTACCTAATAGCATTGCTTTCTTAGTATTGCAACGTTTGTAATATTGTGTTGTTGTTGTTGTTGTTTCTTATCCCACTTGGCTGGCCAAGCCCACAAGCCCATACGTACTTATGATTGAAGGGGAAGGAAGCAGCTTCTGTTGTGATGGAGCACCCGTAGGTAGAAGCCTGACTTTTGCTCCGTGACGCTCTTACAGTCATAGGAGACCGGGACCTACGGCTTAAAGTGGATTCCGAACCACTACAAACATCCATGACACCGCCGGGATTCGAACCCGAAACCTGTGGCACCGAGCGCCAGAGCGCTAGACACTCGGCCATTCAGGTCCCAAATTTGCCAACGGCACGCAGTGTTCCCAGGTGGTCACCCACCCAAGTACTGACCGCTCCCAATGATGCTTAACTTCGGTGATCTACATCAATTATAGTGCACCACAACTTAAACAATATCTTGGCATGTTAAATAAAGGGATGATAATGATAATAATAATAAGGAAGTACCTAATAAAATATTGAAACTTTCTTATAAGAGAAAAAGTATTGGCAGAACCCCTTTTAATAAGAAATGACAAATTATACCAAATGTATGTGCATATGGTGATGTATTAAGAGATACAAGTTACTGAAAAGTATGTTTACAAATAGTAAGAAAAAAACATAATTAATAACATATATTAATAAATGTACATATAATTAATTAATTTGCTAATTATCAAATTAATTAATAAATTTACATATAATTAATAAATGTTTATATGCTCTTTATTTTTTTTTAAATAATTTTTCACTTTGTAATTACTATCAGACAAAAATTTTAAAAAAAAACAATTCATATTAACAAAAAGCTAAATAATTTTAATAATTACTATCTAAAGAAATTTTATAGCCACGTGCTTGCTCATTGTAATATTGTAGCCTGTGTATGTGTAGTTCACTATTTTAAAAAATGGTATTCGAAGATTCTTCAAAATGGCAAGACTAAAATTACGCGAGACCCAAGTTATACTTGTGATTAATGAATGAAAGCTTTTTCATTCGTTATATAGCGCTATCGATGAACGGCAATATATATTTGTATGGTTTCAGTGTGGCTGTCAGCTAGAACTCCCCCACACAGGGGACGAGGGGGGGATTACCCTCGAACCACGCGAGAAAAGAAGAAACTGGCGAACCAAGAAAGGTTGAAAGATAAAAGCGAGGGCTGAGAGTGGCAGTGGAGAAGCACAGAACAATAGTGTTCAACAGCAAGTATGGGTTGCCGGAGTTCGAGCGGAGAAAGGTCATTGATTGAAAATCAGCAGAGCTGTTGGAGATTTCGAGAAGGACGACAGAGAAGTTAAAAGAAAAGCCAGAACCCATGGCAGTTAAAACATTTGTAGATGCTTCTTCAGTTTTATATTCAATATATGAATCATCTGTAAACAGTTCATTGTTGTTTTAGTTTATGATTGTAGAATAATTTACATTATAGATAAACTTATGGTAGTGTGCATGATAGGCAACCAGATTGTTACTGGGGGGGAGGGGGGCTGAATTGAGATACTTGAGTCACAGGTTGGAGAACTGACAGCTTCATTTATACACGCACAAACTCCACACAAAATTAGACGCATACAATATGTAACACATTAAAAGACAACTAATTACAGATTCTTGGAAGGAATCCACTTGTAAGCGAAACACCCGAAATTCGGCTACGCGCAGGGTACATGAAATATAGTTTCTCTCCAGGTCTGTAAACCAACTTATACGCAGGATGCGTTAAATGTATTTCCTCTCGGGAGGACAGATTATAAATTAAATATTTCTTAACGGGAGCGCATGTTGTGCTGTATTTCCTCTCGGGTGAGAGTCTCGAGACCACATAACCCTTACTCCTAAACGTCATAGGGGGGAGTACTTGTCAGTTTGTAGGAGGGAGAAGCATGGTTACGTTATCTAATAAATGTTTGTTGTATTGAAAGTTTCGAGTCTTGTATAAAAGTTCCTTACCTTATTACTTACATACACAAACTTGCAGTAACATATTTATTAACATATAAACATACATACATACATACATACATACGGATGGATGCATAGATGTGTGTATATGTCAGCATAACATAAAATATATAACAATTTTAAGTTTTTTTTTCTTTCCCCTCTGAATTTAATATTTCGCCCTAAAATCTCTTATCCATAAATTTCTTAAAGATATCCAATGATTAATTTTAATTCAACGAAAATCTTATCTTTAAGTAGATCTTCGGGTCACTACATCGCATCAGCCTTAAAAAACTGATTAGCTCTGTTACTTTAGTTATTACAAAAATAATACATATATAATTGATGGCCTTAATTATCCACACTATTATATTTTGAATAATAAATGCTAACATAATAAAGATGGAAAAACCTATTGGATATCCTTAAATAAGAATGCTTGCTCTGTTTCGCCAATTTATATTATTTAAGGTAAATTGTTTAAAATGCACCTTAGTAAACTTTACACGGATATTCTTCAATTAAAATTTACCCAAACTAAAAAAAAATGCTCAATTTTCTGTAACTGAGCAGCGCGAGTCATATCTTCTTGTTTTTATAATAGATTTATAATTCTAATTTATTATAAAATTCTCTCAAATCGCTAAATTTCTTAAAAAAAAGAATTAAATTAAATTAATTGAAAAATTCAATATATAAATTTTCAATAAAAAAAATGCATAATTTTTTTCGAATTAAAAAGATATATTAGTGCAGGAAACGATTCAATGGCAGATACACTTCTACATTATGCACTTTCATTTTCTTTACATATGACCAAAGATGATGTATCGGTTCATATGTTAAAGAAAAACGAACCACTTTAAGCAAATTGTTTCCATGCACACGAGCCAACAAAAGTCCTTTTTTGTTGGCTTGTCAGTGAGCGCGAAACAAACGAGGAGTGCTCGAGCATTTGCGCGAACACATTACGATCCTCGAGAAGTCCACCGATATGATGTATTGCATTTCAGCGAGGGCCTTGCATTGGGAATGCTCTCCATCACTGTCTGGCAGCAAAAAATGACAGTTCCTTCTCAGCTTCCGTTTGGAGTTCAGGCAACAAAAGACGGCTCTACCTTAGAACTACACAATTGAAGTCTCTCGGGGCTGTTGCCTTTTTATGAAGAATGTTCTAGGTCCCAGCAGTTTTTTCGAAAAAACAAAATTATTCTTTGTTTTTCCGTTGAGTCTTTTATTACAAGTTCTGGTGCTACAAAAACTGAGAGCAGAGAATGGAGTGTCATTTTGAAGAGTTGGAATACAAAAAATCAATCATCGTGTTGCAGTGTTGCTTCTCTTTGGCTGGATATTTAGTTTCTTAGACTTGATTTTTATTTTATTCTCTTTTTTTACGGTTACATTATTTTTGGAAAATTGCAAATGTGTGCTATTATTGTTGGTTTAAAAAAAAAGACTAAAAAATGAAAATAAAAAAAAATGCGTAAGTAATTTACAAGTAACAAACATTTCACGGCTTTTTACCAATACATGTTAAATAAGTTCACATTTTACTGTAGTTTAAATTTACAAATCGTTTTAAATAAAAAAAATGCTTATATACGTTCTATAACTTTCGTTATGAATTTTATTCTGTAGGTTTGGTTTGTCATTGTCCAACATCTTGTGCACACGAGGCTTAAACAGAGCGGGGCCTACAGTTTAAAGTGGATTCCGAACCCCTTTCAAACATCCAAGCCACTGCCAGGATTTGAATCTTAAGCCTGGGATACCAAAGGCCAGAGCGCTAGACAACTGGCCTTCAGCCGCTTTATATTATTTAAGGCAAATTTTCAGTATGGATATTTGTCAATTAGTATTTACTCAACTAAAAAAAAATACTACCACTTTATTTTTCTGTAAAAAAGCAGCGCCGAATCATAACTTCTTGATTTTTTTAATACATTTATAATTCTAATTTGTTATGAGATTCTCTCAAAATGCTAAATTTTTCTGCATAAATATATATAATTTTTCCAATCCAAAAAATGCGCAATTTTTTATTATTCAAAAAGATTTATTGGTACAGATAATGATTCTTTTCTTCATTATGCACTTTCATTCTCTATGCATGAGACCAAAGATGATGTATCGGTTCATATGTAAAAGAAAAACGAACCATTTTAAGCAAATTGTTTCCATGCACAAGAGCCAACAAAAGTCCTTTTTTATTTTCTTGTCAGTGAGCGCTTAACAAACGAGGAGTGCTCGAGCATTTGCGCGAACACATTACGATCCTCGAGAAGTCCGCCGATATGATGTATTGCATTTCAGCGAGGGCTTCGCATTCAGTGTAGGAGGGAATGCTCTCCATCACTGTCTGCAGCAAAAAATGACAGCCCCTTCTGTGCTTCCGTCTGGAGTTCAGGCAACAAAAGACGGCCCTACCTTAGTACTACACGATTGAAGTCTCTCGGGGCTGTTGCTTTCTATGAAGAATGCTCTATGCCCAACGGTTTTTCCGAAAAAACGAAATTATGTTTTGTTTTTCTGTCGAGCGTTTTATTACAACTTGTGATGCGACAAAAACTGCGAGCGAAAGATGGAGTGTCATTTTGGAGAGTTGGAATACAAAAAAATCAATCATCGTGTTGCAGTGTTGCTTCTGTTTGGCAGGATTTTTAGTTTCTTAGACTTGATTTTTTATTCCAGTTTTCTCTTTCTTTACGGTTAAATTATTTTTTTTAAATATTACAAATGTGTGCTTTTGTTGTTGGTGAAAAAAAGAGACTTTAAAAAAAAAAAGACGACAAAGTAAAATTCTTAAATAATTTACAAGTAACAAACATTTATTTACTTCATATTTAACACGGGGTTTTTACCATTATATAATAGTTAAAATATGTTAAATAAGTTAGCATTCCAATATAACTTAAATTTACAAATAGTTTTAAATAAAAAAAACTTATTATTTACGTTGTATGACTTTTCATGTCTATGAATTTTATTCTGTAGGGACACCAATTTGTATTAACGTATACAACTATTATATTTATGGAATTTAAAAATAATGCATTATTCATAATAATATTTTTGTCAACAAGGCACTTATAATCAAAGTGCCATTTCATTTGGAAATTGATTTACCTTAGAAATTTTTTTATAATTCCTCCCATTTTGTTTTTCTTAAAAAACTTATCGATAATAAAATTTTTCGCAAAATTGTATTTACCATCATGAAATTATTGGAATGTATAGATTATTGGTTTGTTGCTCTACGGTTATTTTGTGCCCACTTAGGCTAATTATACCGGGGCCTACAGTTTAACGTGGATTTCGAACCGTCAACAAACATTCACCCGGATTCAAAGCTGAGGCCCATGGTACCAATGACCAGAGCACTAGCCAATTGAGGATTAGGCCCCTTGTATTATTTGAGCAAATTGTTTAA